CGATTTACGACGATTAAAAGGACTCCGCAATTAACAAGACTACTACTACTGCTACTACTACTACTACTACTACTACTACTACTACTACTACTACTACTACTACTGCTACTACTATTACTACTATTTGTTACTGTTGCCACCACTACTACTACTACTACTAATACTATTGCTGCTGCTTCTGCTACTGTTTCTTCTGCTTCTACTACAGTTATTTAACTACTGCCATTACTTCTAATACAAAATACTACCACTACTACAACTGCTGCTATTATTTCTACTGCCACGACAACGACAATGATGAGACCCCCCCCACACACACACACACCCCAAACCCAACCATACTTCTGCTTTCTGCCTGTTATTTCTACTTTTCATATTTCCCAAATCAAGCTATAAACATGTCATCCTATTCACAATTTTTTGCTGATGAAAATCAGGTACGTAACACATGTTGAATAAACGTATAAACATAAATCACACCACAACATCAGACAAAACTCAGAGAGGGAAAGGCTACCCCGAGTGGAGGTGTGAGTTACCCAAACCTATAAACACAGGCCTGCCTGTCGGTCCCCCGCTACAGCACAAATCTCACGTCGTGCCCAACAAAACGCGCGGCAGTTGAGCAGACAAAAAGGTCCTGGGTAGGTGACTGTGAAGCGGGATTGCGCGGTTCGTTCTTCCGCTTACTTACGCCTACCACCCCCCCCCCCTAACTCCCCAAACCCCTTCCCGCATACACGCACAAACGCATCCCCCCCCCCCCCTCCTAATCTCCCCACTTCTTCCCCGACCCCCCTCTCTCTCCCCCTGGCCAACCTTAAGTCCCCCACTTTCTCATTGTGGCAACCGCTGCGATGCATATAAATAAAGAATCTCCTTCATTGCTGAGCCCTCAGAATTGTTGTGGTGTAGCTCGAGTTGACTTTCAGTTCAATAAATACATCGATCTTATGGCCCTGTGTGTTAGTTCCATTCGAGTTCAATGTCACGTTTGACTGATCAAGAGTATCACTATAGGCAGTTCAGTGAGCAGTGAGTGTTTTGATTTTTGCTTGCTTTTTTTTTCTTTCACTCTTTCGGGCACAGTAATGTAACGTCTAATTAAACAGTCTAATAACATTGTTCAATTCTGCAGAGACCCTCGAAATAAACGCTTCTCGAGACCCTCGCAATATAGGCTTTTCTTTACATTAAACGGCCCTACAAAAGCGCATTGGACAAGAAAACAAATTTTTGTTGTGAAAATGCTATCTTGTTTGCAAACCGAATAAACAGCTCCCGTTACTGGTTGGATTTTTCCAGTCAAAACCCTGTGGTTCACCAAAGAAGTTGTTTTACTTGCTCTTTTGCAAGTCGTTTCATTGATGTCTTGTATGCTTGGAGGAAGGAATCTGCAGGTCTCTCAGTGTAGTGCTCACCAGGTAAGTCAATGATATAAGCTAACGACCATTTGACATTTGCGCATTCTTGTCTTGTGTGTGGGGGGAAGGGGGTGGGGGGTGGGGGCGGGGCAGACGGAGTAAAATAGAACGAGTGAAAAGGGGGTGAAAGCAGGCAAGGACGACATGATAAACGCAAGTCTCAGAAGTAGTAGTAGTAGTAGAAGTAGTAGTAGTAGTAGAAGTAGTAGTAGTCGTAGTAGTAATAATAATAATAATAGTAGTAGTAGTAGTAGTTGTTGTTGTTGTTTTTGTTTTTGTTGTTGTTGCAGTAGTAAATAATGTTTATACAAGCATTAAGAAGAAGAAGAAGAAGAAGAAGAAGAAGAAGACGAAGAAGAAGAAGAAGAAGAAGAAGAAGAAGAAGAAGAAGAAGAAGAAGAAGAAGAAGAAGAAGAAGAAGAAGAAGAAGAAGAAGAAGAAGAAGAAGAAGAAGAAGAAGAAGAAGAAGAAGAAGAAGAAGAAGAAGAAGGAGAAGAAGAAGAAGAAGAAGAAGAAGAAGAAGAAGAAGAAGAAGAAGAAGAAGAAAAAGAAGAAGAAGAAGAAGAAGAAGAAGGGGAGGAGGATGGAAGTGTAGACATTGTAGTATTATTTTAGCTGAAATAGCAAAATACTGGCATCGCTATAACTAGCTGAGTGCGCTTAACACCCTCACTACTTACCCTTCATAATTTCAGTCAAACAGCGCGCCAGATATTGAAACCGGAACTGCGTTATAGTGCACGATCTAAGACTTTATTCACGTCTGTGGAATAGAACAATCTCTTGCGTACTTCCTTTTACGAGCTTGACGAACGTTGGGAAGTTTCCGGTTCGTTGCTGATTTGGGAGCAGGAAAGTGGGGAAGCCGGGCTCACGGATTTTTTATTGCCTGTCTTGGAATTCTCCCTTTTCTGTCTTTTTCATGATGAGACACCGATTTCCCTGCCTTTGAAAATATGTATTATTTGTCCAGTCAGGTGTGAAACTGACGCAAGATCGATGAGGACCCCAATCTACCACATTTTAAATCTGTCAAATTCACGTTTTTTCAGCATATATATAATGTATGTATATATATATATATATATATATATATATATATATATATATATATATATATATATAAATATACAGATTTTCCTGGTTTTTTTCTCTATCAACGCCATAATCCAGGCGTGCATCTACGTGTATCGCGTCCAGTGATGAATATTTTCTTATTGATACATGTACTTTGCATGTTGACTTAACAGCTTTTTATGTAAGTTTGTCTTCTTTATTGTGAAGAGAGAGAGAGAAAGAGAGAGAAAGAGAGAGAGAGAGAGAGAGGGGAGAGAGAGAGAGAGAGAGAGAGAGAGAGAGAGAGAGAGAGAGAGAGAGAGAGAGGGAGAGAGAGAAAGAGAGAAACAGACAGACAGACAGACAGACAGACAGACAGACAGACAGACAGACAGACAGACAGACAGACAGAGGGAGAAAGAGACAGAGGCAGATAGACAGAGAGAGACAGAAAGAGAAAGATAGAGAACCAAGCATAGACAGATAGATAAATAGATAGATAGATAGATAGATAGATAGATAGATAGATAGATAGATAGATAGATAGATAGATAGATAGATAGAAAGATAGATAGATAGATAGATAAAGAGATAGGTAGATAGATAGATAGATTTATTGATTGAAAAAATTGAGGGACAACACAGAAACTTCTCCGTCCCGCTCCCCACCTTAAATTGATTTTGAGTAAGACCCGCAAAAATATACTGATTTTTTAAAAACTACTGCGAATAGAAAATACGTAAAAAATTATTCTTGGGTTTTTTTGTGGGTTTTTTTCTTGAAACATACAATTAGCACCATGTCAACACATTTTTACGTAACCTACAAAGATCGATAACAAAATCAGGCCAGGGAACAAAAAAGAACATAGTCTAAAAAAAGCCTCCTCTTTTTTTCAGTGAGGAACAATTAGACCAGATTTACGCTTATCTGTGGAAAATAACAATAATAATAGTAATAATGATAACAACAGTTTGTATTTCTATAACGCTCAGTCAGACACGGGTACAAGCTATGAGCGGTTTACATCGATGACAAGATCACTAAGCGAAATACTTTATTCAAACAAGATTTAGAAAAAAACCAAACACATGTCACTTTAGCAAGAAAACCAACTACTCAAAGAAGAACTTTCTGATCAATACATTATATATACAACTAAGGACAGATATGAACCCAAGACATATCAGCACCTACTAACACACTATAACTAAGACTTAAATAAAAGAGTCTTGAGCTTTCGTTTAATAATAGACAGCATTTGTATAGCGCATATCCCCGCTCAACAGCAGGCTCTATGCGCTTTACACTATATTATTACCCCAGCAGACCATAGAGCACTCCGAAACATTCTCAGCTTCCCGGGAAGCATACAGTGCGAGCAGCCGATTAAGCGCTCAAACACTAACAAACTGACAATATCTTTCGCTGTCTATAGCGGGTACCCATTCCCACCTGGGTGAAGTGAGGAAAATAAGTGTAAAGTGCCTTTCCCAAGGACACAACGTCGGGCCCCTG